TACCTATCCAAGAGCATGGGATATCTTTCAATTTTCTGGTATCTTCTCTAATTTCTTACTTTACGATACAGGTCTTTCACTTGTTTTGTTAGCATTACCCCAAGGTATTTTATGTTGTTTGTGGCAACTGTAAAGGGTGATATTTCTCTGATTTCTTTCTTACCCCATTTATTGTCTGTATATAGTAGGGCTACTGAATTTTTTTTTTAGTTAATCCTGTTTCCTGTTACTTTGCTGAAGAGGTTTATCAGCTGTAGGAGTTCCCTGGAAGAATTTTTCAGGTCACTTATTTCATAGCAGCATTATTTGTAATATCCAAACCTGGAAGCAACCTAGATGCCCCTCAACTGAAGAATGGATAAAGAAAATGTGGTACATTTACACAATGGATTACTATTCAGCAGAAAAAAAAACCAAAAACAATAAAATCTTGAAATTTTGCAGGCAAATGGATGGAATTACAAGAAATCCATTACCTGAGTGAGGTAACCCAGTAACAAAAAGACGAACATGGAATGTACTCACTCATATATGGATTTTAGGCATACAACAAAGGATTACCAGCCTACAATCTACACCACCAGAGAAGCTGGGAAGCAAGGAGGACCCTAAGAGAGACATATATGGTCCCCTGGAGAATGGGAAAGGGACAAGATCTCCTGAGATAATTGGGGGCATGGGATGAGGGGAGAGGAAGCTATTCAAAAGAGGAGAAGAAGAGGGGAGAGGAGGTATGAGGGAGCAGGAAGATTGAGTCAGGAGAAGACTAGAGGAGAACAAGAAAAGAGATACCATAACAAAGGGAACCATTACAGGTTTAAAGAGAAATCTGGCACTAGGGAAATGTCCAGATATCTACAAGGATGAATCCAACTAAGCAACAGTGGAGAGGCTACCTTAAATGCCCTTCTCCGATAATGATATTGATGTCTACCTTACATGCCATCTTAGAGCCTATATCCATAGCTGATGGAAGCAGAAGCAGACACCCACAGCTAAACACTGAATTGAACTCTGGAATCCAGTTGCAGAGAGGGAGGAGTGATGAGCAAAGGGGTCAAGACCGGGCTGGTGAACCCCACAGAAATAGCTGACCTGAATAAGGAGGAGCTCATGGACCTCAGACTGATAGCTGGGAAACCCACATAGGACTGATCCAGACCCACTAAATGTGGGTGACAGTTAGGAGGCCTGGGAAATCGATGGGGCCTCTTGTAGTAGATCAGTATTTATCCCTAGTATATGAAAGGATTTTGGGAGCCCATTCCACATAAAGGGATACTCTCGCAGCCTAGAAATATGGGGCATGGGCGGGGGGGGGGGTCTAGGCCCTGCTCCAAATGATATGACAGACTTTTAAGATCCTCCAAGAATGGCCTCACCCTCCCTAGGGAGCAGAATGTGGATGGGATAGGGGGTTGGTGGGGGCCAGTGGAGGAGGGGATGGAGAGGGAACTGGGATTGACATGTAAAACAAGATTGTTTCTAATTCAAATAATAAAACAGATATTTTGTCCTCTTTTCCAAGTGACAAGCAACATTGTGTACCTGCTCATGGGGTTGACTGACTGAAAAGAGATTTACAGATTGTGACTTCAGCTCAGAGAAATGTGCCAAGCTTGAACACACAGATTGTCAGACTGAGGAGGCCAAGTTCTGAGGCAGAAGTACTGTAGCACAATGCGTCTACCTATTGAGTGTATTCATCTAGAATGTGTGAGGAAAAAATTAATACAGGGACTGTCAAGGGGCAAGTACAAACTTTACAGGCAGAAACATGAAATTGATTTTGGAAAAAAAAAAGCAAACCAAATCTCCCATTTGTGTTCAAATTCATCTTTTTCTATAAAAAAATGTGAATTCCCCAAACAAGAATACTTCTTTGCAGTAAATATGTATTTGATTTTGTATGGAAGTTTGCATAGCACATATCAAAATTGCAGTGAGCCAAGCTAAACTCCAGCAACACCTGACCTTACCAGAGATTACAGGCAACCCCCAACTCTGCATCAGAGAGTCTTACTGCTTTTAATAGAGGACTCTTGATAGAGTACAGTAAAAAAACAATCAACAGTGGGTGTAGAGGAAGGTATGGCCTGTTAAGAGTTGTGTCAGAACCACAGTATGTACACACATCTCTTTGGATCTCAGTCTCCCCATTTTCAAAGAGGGTTGGGAATTAATCCCCTCAGTGGGTGCTTGCAAGTGCTATATTCTCGAAATCCAGCCTCAGGGTTAGATTCAATGACCACCGAAGTCCCTTTCAGCCCTGAATATCTTGCAGTAGCCATTCTTAGTAATCAGTCTTCTGGCTCAGAGCTGAAAAACTGGCTGGGAACATAAACAGACTTCTACATAAAACACACATCTACCAGCTATGAGTTGCAATTGGCAAGATGAGGCTTTACCAGAGTTGAGAGGAAAAAGTGCAAACTCGTCCTCAGTGATGACACTGCCTCAGCTGCACTGAGCTCTACCTAAAGGTGGCTAGAGCAGGGTCAGTCACTACCACAGCCAATGCTCTCTTGCCCGAGACAGGACATGGGCATCATTTTTAAACTACCAAGAATGTCATATGAAGAGCTTCAAAAAACAACACCCTCTCCCTACCAGATTTGTCCTTTTCCATTTGGCAAACATTGCTTTATTTTTTATCATCCTCCCTTCTGTTTTACAGAGAACATAAGCCAACATGGCAACAGACTTCTTGTTTATTTCCTTCCTCTTCAAAAACAAAGCCATGGCTTGAGTACATTTATCAGAACAAAGTCCACATAGAAAGAGACTTTTTATAATTTTCATGAAAGCCCCATGAACAGGACAAGGACGCCACTTTCACTGATTCTATTTGACACAGTACTGGCAGTCCTAGCCAGGGCAATTAGACAAGACAAGGAATTAAAAGCAGTCCAAACTAGAAGAGAAGGAAGATGAAGTGTTCCTGTTTTCAGACAAAGTGAACACACAAGAACAAACCCAAGACTCTAGAAAATATTATTAAGTTAATACACAAATTCGGTAAAACTGCATGATATAAAAGCAACATATAAAGGTAAGGAGGTTATTTATGTTAATAGTCAACTCGGAAAAAAAATCAAAACAGAAGTCACATTCATAATAGCTACAAAAACATAAATAAACTGAAATACAATTTTTTATGATGTGAAAGATATCCACAATGAAACTATTCCAACACTGATGAAAGTAAAGCAAGGAGCAATTAGTGTAGAGATCCTATGTTCATGGGTTGGATGATTTGTAAATGAAACCCATGGACAAAAGTTTACTGATACTGTGATTAGTAGTTTCACATGGTATCTATCGTAATTTTATTATAATCAGCTTCACATAGTATCTGATAATCTTATTATTATCATTGCTATTATTTGCATTACACAATATCAGCAAGAATATCAAAATATCATCTAGGTATTACAATTAGCACATTGGGTCACATTAGTATGTCATCAACTTTTTAAGGAGGTATAGCTACCCTCTTTGTAAAGGACAACTGGGACTCAGTGTGATCTGCCCATGGTCACTAACTCAGAACACACTCTCACCTACTTTTCAAACTGCAGACATTCAACCAATTTTTGGAGTGGAAATATTCCAAATATAGCATAATACATTTACTAGCAATCCAGGAAACAAAGCAGAAGAGAATTTTAAAATTATGCACATTAATCAACACATAAAGAAGCATCCCAATAAAAAACAACAGTATACAAAAAGCAGACAAAAATATTTTATTGAAACATGACAAAACCACATTAAAATATACTCCGCAAGAATCAGCCTGGTCTTTAAACCTTGGTTTAGTGGTACTGTCCTGAGGAGGTTCCATGCACCAAGTCCAACCTGTGTCTGCTTCCCTAGCACATACCCCACCTGACTGTGCAATGTTTGTCCTCTGTTTACTTGCAAGTTCCCCAGCATGCAAACTATGCCTGCCTTTCCTATCATAGGACTCCCCATTGCTCGGATAATATATACATAGGAACAAAGATTATTTGGGAAATACTTGAATAATTTCTGCTTTGTTCTCCTAGCCTAGACTTGAAGAAAAAATACAGCAGATCAGACCCTAGCCAGTTCTATTGTACAGCTTCTCTTCTATCACATTACTCGTGGGACACTATGAACACATACAAAGGCAGACCAAATAGCAGAATAAGGCACACCACAGTCACAAGCATTAATACAGTGTGTCTGCTTGTGTTGTAACTCACAGGTTCTGAAGTTTGATTGTACATAAGTGAACCAGACACCATTCCATCTAATCTGAGAAATCAAGGTTTCTCTAAGACAAGGTCTTGATTTTTATCTTCTGTACATCTACACTGACATCATCTTGCATGAGAATGGCAATGTTTATTTTATAATTTTTCTATCCTGGCATGATGTCTTCAGCCTTAACTGCAGACACTTAACTGGTCAGAGAAAAATTATTTTTCTTGCTGCTTCTGCATCTAGCAGTAGTTAGATTCTGTATTCTGTGGAGCACAATGCTTATATGTCACTGATACACATCTAACATTCTTCTTTGAACACCTAGAAGAACAAGCCCTACGCTGTCTTACTATTGCTTCCATGAAAACAATGTTGGTGCCAGTGAGGGCTCACACTGAACAAGAGGAGCCTTAAATATTACTCTTACTCATATAGAATACAAAGATTAATGAAAGAGGGAAAAGATTTAAGGCCTGGCTTCATGCCAAAAAATGTAGACTTGCCAAACAGCACTTCTTTAAAAAAAATCATCTTGAGTTCTAAAATGAAATCAGTAGGTAAAAATGTTTCCATGGCTTCAGAGTGTAAGCTAGCAGAACTCTGAAGAGCATGGGTTGGGTATTTTGCAACGAAGTGTGCTAACAACTCCTTGTAAGTTGCAAACCTGGGGAAATACTCTGGGTAAATGCTCATGAACACAGAAAGCATCACTGAAATCCCAGGAGTCGTAGCACGTCTTATAAACCAGACTTCAACACTGTTCTTACCTGCACTTTGAAAGCGCCTTCATCCAGTGGTGGAGGAGGAGGGAAGTGTCCAGAGGCAGGTGGAAGGGTACCAGGGTCATCTAAGGGTGGAGGTGGGGGTGGCAGAAAATCACCTACAGAAAGGAAAGAAATATCAGATGTTAACAAGTATGCAGTTTCATAGTACTCTTTAAACGCTGTATCTGCTAGCATTGTGATTGGTTTAGACCCAATTGTTTGCCTTATAGAAAAAAATTCCTTCCTTAGCTAACTTTAGTTTAATTATTAGCCTGAGCTTCCATAGGACAAAAGGCAAATTTCGTATTTCAAAATACTATAAGGGCTAGTCTAGAGGGGTCAAAGGCAAGGGGTGGGGACTAGAGACACCGAAATGTATTAGACTTGGTAATTTAACTTAATAAAATCTTATTCAAGCAAAAGAAGACACGTATATACATAAGGATAACAAGAAGTTCAATTTATGAGGAGGACAAACTTTTGGAAGTTAACTAAGGTAAAGCTTACATCCAGGTAGGGGAAAGGGAGGCTGTATTGCCATCACCTTGAACTATATGACCTAGACAACAAGCCCACTCCAGGAAGCAAGGCAGGGGAATACCAGCATACAAGTCATGTTGAAGAAAATCAACTCTAACATAGCAAAAACATAAGACTCCAAGCAACAGTAGTAGAAAGAAAAACTAGCTAGGTGATGAAGGACAATGTGATCCACACATTGGAAGGAGTTTAGCTTCCATTGTTCAGACTAAGGACCGCAGAGCAGATGAGTGGACACTTGACCACAGAGCAGAGGATTCAGATATTCAATTACAAAACACGGAAGAAACAAGAAGGCTCCCAGCCTCTCCAGCCACCAAGAATGCATGTGGAAAAGTAGTATGTGTCCACTGATGTCTGAGGCAAACACAGCAAGCTGTATGGCATGTTATAAAATACTTAAAATAGCTTTAGATAAGTTTAATTAGGAAAAAAAGACACTAGGCTTTTGCTTATTTGTTCTCTTAGCATTTTAAAAAGCATCCTTGTCCTTCCTTTAAAAGAAAACAGTTCGATGCTCCTTTTAGAAGTATTCTTTATATGTAAGTGACTACTCCTCAAATTTCAGCTTTTCAACAATCAGTCAAGCTATAGGAAGGAAGCAGTCTCCATAACCAAATGAGTCACTTTTCAATACCATCAAAACATCACAACTTGTGGGGGGGGGGGGGCAAGTCAATCTAGGAATGAAAAGAGGAGTCTTGTGAAGGACCACTGAAATACCCAGCCTCCATTGCCTTTAAAGCTAGAGATCTCCTGGCCTGGGGACTGCAGGCTGGTCAACTCGCCCCTAGCTGACAGAGCAACCATGAGTCTGCTGATAGCACTGTGCTAATCCACCCCCTACCCACCAGGAGAGGGAGTGCCTCAGACACGCCTACCCATCAGAGTATTGGTCCTGCTTGCACCCACCGGAAGAGAACCTTGGGCCCATACCCAATCTATATAATTAAATACAGATTATAGATAATTACCTACAATAGTCAAAACTTATAATTAGGTTAGTTATGTTTTCTAGATATACAGAGATATATTTAAGATTGTTAGATATTCTTCAAACCTTTCAAAGACCTACAGAATAAATGGCATTTGAATGGTTTAGAGATTTTCTTGTCAATGAGAAATGTTTGCTCCTGGCAGCACCAATCTATGTCAGAAAAGATGGGCATTGAAGAAACTCATTATGGAGTTTTACCTTCAACATGGCTAAACTAGCCATTTGGGCAATAAATTGCACTTGCCTGGACTGTTTGACTGTTGTTATATAATCTGGACATGGAGGACCCACAGGAAAGTGGCTGCTGAACTTGCAAAACAAGATGGATAGTCCTAAAACGTTCCCTTTGAGAAGTATGGAAAGAGCTCACTATTGGCAAAGATTATGGGCATTTCTGGTTGTGTGTCTTCATCTTCAGGGAAACAGCACCACCCCCTCTCCCAGGGAAACAACCTCTGCTGTTGATAAAGAAAGTATGTGACAAGGACTGAAATGCTTTCAGTTGTCATCTGGGCAACATTACAGTTGGGCTCTTGGATAAATATGACAAGGTACTGAAACACTAATCTTTGATCCTTTTTCCATCTTCATTTTCTTCTACTTAACTAAGTAGATCACTAATTCTGATGGTACTTAATTCCCTAACAGAAAATGTTATTTTTAGGAAAAAAAACTCTAAGGTTGAAATTACTAATGAAAAACATGTGTGTCTGAGGTGAAACTATGCCAATTAGCCTGTTTCACTCCTACATTCACATATGTATCAAAAATTCACATTTGACATGATTACATACGTTTCTAGAACTATCACCCATCAATTAGAAATATGATATATGTAAGTGTTAAAATACAGATGAAACATAGTATTCGTAAGAACATAAAGATCCTTGTGTATACTCCTACCAGGAACAGAATTAATATTAGCTAAAACCTTCCTTTAAAATGCATTGCAAAGGGTGTCAAATCCTCAATCATATTTACAGGCCTTAATTCAGGGGCATTCACATTCAATTTATCCTGTGACAAAGTAACAAAAACAGCATGCAGCGAAACACAGTTTGAATCTTAGATACAACGCAATACAGAGAAAATTATCAGAAGGCTCATCTGGACAGCACTGCTTACAAAGAAACTGAAGGCAATCATACAATGGAAAGTACGAGAGCCATCAAGGTGATGGCGATTATTTGCTCTGTCATCTATTTATACAGTGTCTGTGTACAAGCATCACTCAAAAGAGGTGCTTCTAAACCCTCCTAGTAGGCTACAACCCTTTAATAAAGTTCCTCATGGAATGCAGACCCCAACCATAGATTATTTTCATTGCTACTTTACAACTGTAATTTTACTACTATTATAAATTGTAATGCAACTATGTAGTATACAGGATATCTGATCTGTGAACCGTGAGAAAGGGTTATTCAAGCCCCGGGTTGAGAACTGCTACAGTAGACCCCAGAGTGTAAAGGTACTGACTAATTAAACGCACAAAACAAATGGAAAATGCTGCCCCCATAGAACTTACAGTGCATTAGGAGAAGAGGAATGCTCAGGAGACAAACAGCTACTGTGAGCTGGATGTCAAGTGGCAAGGAAAGAAAGACTGAGTAAGAAGGGTAATTGGTGAGACGGTGGTAGGATGCTGCAGTTTTAAAGCACAGGATTGAGAAATGCATCACCGAAGTGGCATTTGGGGAAAAACTTAAATGGAGTAAGAGAGTGACTCACAGAATATCTGGGGGCAGGATAGGCAGAAAGAGAATGCTACCAAGCGGAGAAGAAAGGCAGGCTCCTCAGGGTGCTTACAGCACGGTGCTGCTTTTCTACAGGGCTAGATGCAAACAGGCCGCCCAGAGCTTATGGCACAGCAAATGTTGTTTTGTATTCCCTCTCCTTTTCACTTAATCCCATACAATAAATATGAATTGTAATCTTGCTTTTTTTCCCCAGAATCAGAAGGAAGATGCTTTGAAATGAATTGCAGCCTCTACTCAAACCCAGAGTTTAATTTTAAAGCATCACTATATTTACCCAAGCTAAAATTTAATGTGCTGTCATCTTTCTAAATAACTGAGCTTGAAATGCTCTTTGAGATTCTCAAATTAAAAGCAAGGAGACTTATTATCTTTAAAGAGGATGACGTCTCTCCACTTGTAAATTGGACCGTCTCACTCCATATTTAGCTAATACTGGATTTCTGGGACTTCACTGTCCTCAGCAGTCCTCTTGTTCAAATTACAGACAAACTCTCCATGCAGAGGTGAACACCCGTGTGCTAAACCTAACCGAGCATATTATACTTCTCTATCACATAGCAGTTTCAATATGTTGAACAAGATTCATCCTCTCAGTTGAAAGCATAGAATGGTTTTCACATAACACAAAAAGTGAGGGAGATTTTTATTTCTGAAAAATGGACTAGAACCAAAGGCACTTTTGGATTTATCAAGGGCCACTTGTCTGACAAAGGCATAGTAATTGCTATCCAAACAACACAGCAATACTTATATTTTGACTTTCAAATGTGTGCAATAAGCAGGACAATGGGTTAAACTTAATGTATTAGTCTTTTATCAGTTACTGTGACACCCTCAGGCCCAATACTAAATATGAAGTTCTCAGTGTGAATAAAATTGAAACAAAAATTTAAAAGTCATGAAATGATAAAAAAAATCAACTCAATATTAAAAGAATGGGGTATCTTAATTTACAACTCAGAAAAGAAGCTGGTAAGTGAATACTAGTGGGCTAAATGTGACCAAACTATCCCATCTGCTCTTAAGGGACATCCCCATCAGTGCCCACCAAAGACAGAAGGTTCCCTTCCCTTCAAAGGCAGCCATAGAGTTTGAGAGGGTATTTTCTTAAAACAATGCATGGAGTAACTGAACCCAGTGTTATCTATGTTGATTCTTACTGTGGATGTCCATCCTCATCACCAATGACAATGTACTGAGAACCACCACAGAACAAATGCTGCTCCTAATTTAACTGGCTGTCTATTGCTTTTCCCTACTAGACTAGGTAGGGGATGGCTAAAGGCCTGTTTTCTGCTTTTTGAATAATTTATCATCAAATTATTACTATTTACTGAGTATGTGCTCCCTATACTGTATGCAGAAATTAGCAAATATATATTTACTATACACCCAAATGAACTGAGAGGACACATGTATTTTTGTTACACTCAAGTTTAGACCTTTCCAATATTGATGTGAAATATAGCCAAGCTTCTACCTCTCGGGTTATCAGTGGATGAGAGGTCTTCTGTTGCCCTGGCAGCCAGGCAGAGAGTGATATAGACTTCAAAGGACCTGTCAAATTTGGTTTTGCTGCTGCTGTTGTTGCTGCTGATTTACTTTTTCCTGATTGTTTATAACTTAAATTACATAGAGTCTGTCTGCCAAGTGTTATGACTGAGTCCCGAACCCTAAATTAACATCTGGTCCAGAGGTATTTCTGCATCCAGAAGGGTTGCAACTATCCTCTCTTCACTGAATATTTCTTCACTAATCAAAGATCTGAGAATAGACACTCACAAAGTCTATCCTCGGTAGCTATCCCAAAAGTTCTCCAAAT